CCAGTCTTAACACAGTTGATGTTACTACACAACTGTGCATGGCGGTATTGGTTCCGGACAAACCATCGATGATGGACTACATGATCAACAACCTACAAGCATTCATCTTTGAATGCGGAAGAACACACGGCATACTACAAAGCGACAACGAAGACACACTCAATGCACTACTACAAGCAACAGCATCTAAAGTCGGCTCAATGACTGTACGACATTCACCGTCCTACAGCAGCAACAGTCAAGGAAGCGTTGAGCGACTACATAGAACACTCCTCGGACAAATCCGCGTCGTCAAAGCTCAGGTTGAAAGCAACTACAGCATGACGATGTCCACAAAGCACTGTCTACTACCTTGGATAGTACGACATGCAGCATGGACGGGAAATCGCTACGTCATCCACTCAGACGGCTACACAAGCCTTGAACGCCGCTGGGGAAGAAACTACGAGCGAGCAATCTGCGAATTTGGCGAGACACCACTCTACCTTCCACCACAACACAAGAAACTCCCAAAAGCAGACCTACGGATGCAGAAATGCATCTGGCTCGGAAAAGTCTCCGAAACCGGAGAAAACTACGTCGCAACAGAATCAGGCGTACAAAAGGTACGAACAGCGCGGAGACTACAACCGGACTTCAAATACGACCTCGCACTATTGAACAAAGTTTCCGGCACACCGTGGGCACCACGACGGAACACCTACAACCCATCGTTCGCAACACTGTTGGATGCGCAACTACCACCGTCAGAGAAAAGAAGGTCCACGCAAGATTTCGGACAACAAACGAACGCTACGGACGACATCGTTGCGGAACCCGCAACAAAACAACAACGCACCACACCACCTCCACGACTTCTGTCAACATCGACGTCAAGTTCACGACCACTACCGGATAGTCCGATGGCTACTTCACCAACCGGACGACAACATCCACCACTACCAGCACCACCTCGACAAACACTACGACGTTTAACTCCGGAAGAAGTAACGCAACCCGCTAAAGCACAGAAGACCTCAAAAGGACACTACAGTCAGATCAACGGAGCAAGCAACCAAAGAACCACCACCACTACGACAGAAAATTAACGCAGTGACACTTCCCAACGGCAAATTCATCACACCCTACACAAACGACGACACCTCAGAAGACCAACCCATAATCTTCGACAACGAAGGTTACGACGAAACACAACTACTGGAAGGAATGAAACACGAGTCAAACCAAATGAAGCTACATGACGTCTACGACGAAGTAGATGCGTCTACCGTCGACGACAACGTCATCAGAGAAGCGATACCTACAAGATGGGTACACAGAAAGAAAGGACCAGGAGTACGAAGCCGAATCGTCGCAAAAGGCTACACCGAGAAGATCGAGGACGAAGACTCCGTCTACGCCTCTACACCAATGTTCACGACACTCCGGACACTTCTCGCACTACAAATGTCACGACCAAACTGGATAGCGCGACTATAGGTGACGTCTCTACAGCATTTCTACACGCACCCATCGCAAAAGACCACGACGGTAAACAACGTGACGTCTACCTTTGGCCACCTAAAGAACTTTGTCCACAACAGGACAAAATCTGGCGACTAAAGAAAGCCATGTGTGGACTACGCAGTTCACCAAAAGCATGGCAGGACTACCTGGCTGAAGTGGTACAAAAACTCAGCTTTGTAAGACTAAAGTCAGAACCTAACGTCTACACCAACGCGACTCGCGACTGCTACATCATTGTCTACGTGGATGATCTCTTGGTACTTGGTGACAAAACTACTGTCGACTCCACCTTCGAGGCCATCCAGAAGCAGGTCCTACTCAAGCATCGGCTACCTCGAACCTGGCAAACCACAACAATTTCTTGGAAGAAACATCGACCACTTTGGCAACTACTGCAACCTGGGACTAAAGGACTCCTACATCGACAACATGATCGAGGAGTCTGGAATGAACAACTGCAACTCAGTGAACACTCCAGGAATTGCACACTACAAACCAACAATAGAAGATGAAGCACTACTTGACCACGAACAACACAAAAGGTACAGAAGGATTGTTGGCAAACTACAATGGTTAGCATACACACGACCAGACATTGCATACTCCACAAAAGAACTAGCACGAGACCTCACAGCACCTACAGAACTTTCACAAAAGAGAGTCAAACATCTACTACGCTACTTGCACGGCACCAAGCACTACAAATTCACCATAGAACCAACAACAACACTCAGAGCAAACACCAACAACATCCTGGATCTCGACGTTCATGTCGATGCCGACTGGGCAGGATGCCCTACTACCAGGAGATCAACTTCAGGTTTCAACATCATCTTTTTAGGAACAACAGTTGCATTTGGCAGCAGAACAAGCTACAATAGCACTCAGCTCAGCAGAGACTGAACTCTACGCCATTTGCGCAGGAGTTAATGAGGGACTACACGTCAGAAACTTCCTACTTGAAACCAACATTTGCAGCAGGCTAAATCTACGCATCCACACAGACTCCACAGCAGGCAAGAGCATTGCTACACGACAAGGCACTAGCAAACGAGCAAAACACATCGACCTTAAAATTCTCTACACACAAGACCTCATCAAGCACGACATCATCAGAATCCTCACAAATTAACACACTACACAACAGCTCAGACTTGTTCACAAAATACATTAGCAAAGAAACACTACAGAGGCTCATACAGAGCATTGGCATACGTGTTTAGCACTACGAACAACAACTGTTTCACAACTGTTGCACATCAACCACAACAGTTTGTATATGGCCATATGTAACTACCTGCATTTAAGTAACAGTAACAGTAACAGTGACTACAAGTAATAGTAATTGTAACCACCAGTAATTTGCGCTTGCACTTTTGGCGGCTTTTGGCGGCTTGAGTCAACACTACATGTTGTTTTGTCTTTTACTACATGCCCGCATGTGCTTTTGTGGCTCACTACTGTCTGCCCCGTTTCACTGCATCTCAATAGGCCGAACTACCAGCAATGGCTGGAACTACGCCCATGGATGCGACTACGCTGGATGTCATGCCGATGGAGGTTACTACATCAGCGTCAGAGACTACTCTGCCCGTCGAACAACAGGCTGGCAGTACTACACCGGACCGTGTTTTCACACCACCGGATCGGCAGCAAACTACCGACTCCAGCAGCATGGCTACTTTGGCCACACCACCACCTGAGGCCTACAACTCCCTCAACTACAACTTCAATCACCAACTACCCACACCGGCACCTTTCTACAGACCCGACGACATCTTGGCACACCTCACTACAATTGAGAACAACATCCCTGACACTCCAGCGATCGACCCGGAGCAGAACTACTTCAGGGTCTACGTGGCTTTGACGCTCGAGGAGTTCCAACTACTAAGACTAAGTCAACAAAAAACTACACCCATCCCCGAGCTCAACTACAACCTACCAGTTCACGACCTACCTTCAGACCTACGGATGCCACACTACGACTCACTACCTCTTCACCCACGTCTTTCAGAGGCAGTCAACTTCTACTACTACAACCTAACATCACTACACCTCACAACTCAGTACACCAACTCGATGGTCATCATCCAACTACACATTCCACCAGAAGTTCTACTACGATTTGTCAGTGCTGGACAACTCATCAACTTCTGCCGCGACTACGTGAGCCACATGATCTCAATCAAAGACGAGCACCACCTACCTACACGCCAGCTACATCAACGACTACACCGAATCACCTACAACTTGGACCAGATCACCACTACATTCAACCTGTCCAACAACTTCATTTGGAACTACCACATGCCCCTGTACCTACCAGAACTACTCGACTACTTCGACCAACCACAACAACTTCAAGACCACCACTACAAGTCCATCAACACGATGCTACACAAAAGTGTCACCTACTACGGCATCACCCTCCTCACGGCTACAAATCTTTCCACACAACACAAACTACTACTCCACAACTACCTCACTACAACCGGCCAAGCACTTGCACCACCAGAATGCGACTACAACCGCCTCCGTGGCGGTCCAGACTTCCTCAACACATTCACTACCAACCACTATGCAGGCTTGGACTACCGCGTCAGCCAAGTCCAGAACTACCGAGTCCAACACTGGACTAAGCACACCTGATCTCTAGGTGGAGCTGCAACTACGTGCTGTACTACGTCATCGTACTACAAGATGACTGAGAGCCATTTAGGGTTCTTGTACAGCAATTTCACTTTTTGATCATTTGAAGGTTAGTTGAACTACAGACAGCAGCGCTGTGGATACCTACCTTCGGCCATCTTTTTCTTAAGAGACTACATGCCTGTTCGCTACAGTAGCATCGGCAAACAACATGTGCATTCGTTTTTGCCACTTCTGTCAATACCACCTTTTGGGTCTATGGTTAAAGGACACTACAAGGTCTTTTAACCAAGGGGCCGTGTCAAATATCATGTTGCACTACTTGTCACTTGTGCATGCATGATGTACACTACCCGACTGCAGGCCTTGAGTCTACCAGGAAAAGAGTGCATGCTGGCTAACTACATTTGTGTTTGTGACAACAGAAACAACACTTGCACTTGCAGTAAAGTACCGAGCGAGAGAGAGAGAGAGAGAGAGAGAGAGAGGAGAGAGAGAGAGAGAGAGAGAGAGAGAGAGTTGAGAGAGAGAGAGAGGAGAGTGTTCCCTTGTCCTCTCTCCCGCTCTCTCTCTCTCTCTCTCTCTCTCTCTCTCTCTCTCTCTCTCTCTGTATCTCTTTCTCTTTCTGTCTCCCTCCTTCCTTTCTATACCTCTCTCTCTCTCTCTCTCTCGCTCTTTCTCTCCTTCCTATCTAGGTCTCTGTCTTTCTCACGGGGGAAGAGAAGAGAGAGAGAGGACAATGTGGGCGGAGTGAGCCGGAGGCTCTAAAGTAATATATTTGCTTCTTCAACATCCTTCAGTCCTCTCGCTTGCGTTGCCACTTCCAGATCCGAGCGCGGCACGTTCGCCAGCGTCAGCAAGCGCTTGCCTCCAAGCGCGTTGTCCAAATTTGGCACCACAGCAACTGGTGTGTTTTCGTTTCAACAACGCGGGATGGCACTTGAATCACTTCAATGACCTCAATCACTTCAGTCACTTCGGGCATCTCCTTCACTTTGACTGATTGATCTTGGAACCCTCTCGTCAGACCATGTACGAGAGGAAAGTTAAACTCAGCAAATTCAAACCGTTGCGAGCGCAAGAGGGGCTGGGAACGGTACGTGCCACGAACGTTGAAAGTACAGGGGGCCTTGCAGGCAAGCCACCGAAGAAGCGAGAATTCCAACGCGCATGTGCCAAGCGCGGACGCCGTTTGGCGCGCTGCCTCTTCCTAGTGAGACGACACGCGCAGGCAGTCAAACCAAGCACGGTCATCAGCTTGCCCCCAAGGAAAACAATTGACCATCAAAACATGTCCGAAAAAGAGAGTCTATGGTCGGAGCACATAGCGAATCCTGCAACACGCCAAGCCACGGATCCACGAGTTAAACTTGAGTCCGTTCTTCCGCCTTCACAGAACCTTGTTCATATCAAAGCAAGCTGGTCCGGGTTCTAGCACAGGCATTCTCGGGAAAAAGTAAGCTCACGTGTCCCGCAGGTTACGCGCTGGAAATATGGCACATATGCTGCATCAAATGACGGAGGGCAGCGCCATCCTATAACCCACTGCAAACATCCCAACAAAACGCAAATACGTCGCACATGGACATATCACCTCTCATCACGAGACGAAGGAACAAGCAGGAGATCACACCGGCAAAAAGCGCAAGGCCGTATCATTTTGCGTGTCGCATTCAGGCACCCATCAGCGGCTTTGCGACTGGCCTTCCTGCAAAACTGTTCATCAAGTTCGTCGTGTCTTCCTCGCGCTGTGGGTCTGTAGCACCCTTTTTCGAAGGCTCCATTTTGAACTGGACGCACTGCCCTCGGACTCTCATCTCATCTTTGCGCGTGTCGTCGGGGGAACCCCATCCGGATGAAAACTCCAAACCGTTTGCGCCTGCGAACATAAACCGTGGTTTTGGCCCGATGTTTGGGTTCGCATCACTGTTGTGGACGACGGGGTAGTTGCGCCGTACTCGTGAGCCGATTTGACGCCGACTCACTCTCCGTGTTGAGTCTCGCGCTTGCTTTTGGAGACGCCAATGGCAAGATCAACTGGTTGGAGCACGGCACACCGCACCCCGATTCTTTCAAAGGTTCGTCAATCAGAAGGCCAAATACAAAACGCGCATCTCTTCAGCATTGGACATGTTGAGATATTCGGGACAAATACTATGGAACTGCGGGGGTTACTGCCCTGCGACACACCTGGGGCTGTGGCTCCGCTTTTTCCTTCTCGGCTTTGGAGCTCAACTCGGGAAAGGACCCAAAGACACTTGGAGGGGGCCCAAGCGCAAAACCTTAGCACAAGTGTCTTCCAGGTGCTTTCTTCGGCAATGTCCGCGGTTAATTTCGACACAATGGGTGCGTGTGCAGTTTGGAGATGGATCCTTGATACGCGCGTCGCCAGCTCCCAGCGTGGCAGGCTTGCGCCTGCTCGCACACCGACAACATTGATGGAATAGGGCAATAGGGGAGCACGCGAGACAGTACGGACGATGATGAAGCGTCGGAGCCAGCCTTGCGATTGGGAATCTATGGGCCTTTTTTGGCAATCGCGCGCCCAGCAGCAATCCGCTCTTATCAAGTTCAAAGCCGTGAAGCTTTCCTGTGAGTCATCTCTTGGGAACACCGCAAAAACCCGAAAACCACATGAACAAACACAGAGCGCCCAGCACGAACCAGTCTTGACACACAACATAAACCCCCAAACAAGGCTAACAGAATTGTTAATCGGCACTGCTCAGCCCCCCCTCGCAGGGTCCTTCTGAAAAGGGCTCTTGGGCGGGGGCTACACCAGCACAATCAAAGATGAAAACGCCTAGAGGGCGGCCACGAATATCAAGGCGGCCAACAAAACACTGCTTGGCAGGCGCCAGTTGAACCCCGAGGCCGGGGAGAAAAAATCAAGAGTTCCGCCTGTTTCCATCATGGCAACGACGCCAGTGGAGCCGCTGTACCTCGCAGCGCAAAATTGCTCTTTTGCAAAGGCTTGACAAGTTTCTTCCCACACAAGAAGAAACAAAGACAAACGACGGAAAACAAAGCACATCAGCGGGCACTCCACGTCAGATCCCATTTTTGCAAAAATGTCATCATCCGTGTTCCGGAAAGCTCCCTGACATCGCGACAGCCGTCTGTGCGGCCTGAGGCATGGCCTGGCCCCACGCCTCCAAGGCCTTTTTGGGGTTCTCGGTCGGATGCGTGGACGAGTTGCTCAAGTGCCCGGGCCTACGGGAGTGAGACTAAGTCCCTTGCGACGCGCAAAGCTAAGGCCGGGGCATTCGCGTCGCGGCAATCCCGGAGGCCTGGCACGCTCCGCGTCCGACGGGCTTGCAGGGGACCATTTTGAGAGAGGGAGGTGGGCCCAACGCGGAGAATGGACAATGGTGACCTTGAAGAAAAAGCTGGCAAGGTTCACAGAGTTCACAGACTGGCCGGATGCCTTCCACCATCTCAGCAAATGATTCTACCAACCATTTGTCACTAGATACCTCAACGTGTCAGAATCTTTTTGTGGTCATCAGAAACGCTACCCACAAGGCTGTGCCTTGAGTTGCACTGGTATGTTGGCCATTGACCTTGCCTACCACTTCTACATGATCCACTATGCGCCTCGTACCATTGCAACCTCGTTTGTGGACAACTACAGCCTGCTTGCCAACTCCGTGGGAGACCTGGTACATGGCCTGGTGGTACAGAGCTGCTTCTTTGAACTCTGGCAGCTAGATCAAGATCTTGACAAGACCTACTGTTGGGCCCTTGCCTCCACTAGCAGGCAGCGCTTAGTCAAATTTGGTCAAGCAATTCGCACTCATGCTCGAGATCTTGGTGGCAACATGACCTACCAACGCAAGCGGCTCACTTCCCTGTTCTTGGATACAATACGATCGCTGGAACCACATTGGCTACGCCTTCGTAGGCTACAGGCTGCAGAACCTCTAAAGTCTCAGGTCATCGTCCAGGCGCTATGGCCCAAGATCTTCCACGCCCCGGGAATCAACTCCTGCCCGGGCACAGTCATTCAGAAGCTCCGGACCACGGCTGCTAGGGCGCTCGGTCATGGAAAAGCTGGTGCACAGCCCCTGATCCGGCTGTCCCTATTGGGTTCAACCCCTATGTGTGACCCTGGCCTTTTTCGACTCTGGGCCACCTTCCGTGACTTCCGACGACTTTCCTTCAAGCAGCCGGCTTTGGCAACAATTTATGCAGCAGTTCACTGGCGTCTTTCACCCAGGCCCGTTCAGCGCCCTGTTTGACCTCCTGTCCTGGCGTATCCTGGAACCACCCTACATCGAGGACCACGATGTCTTGATCCATGATTTCTTGGAGCTCGATGAAGCCACCCTTTGGCAGCGGACTCAAGATGCGTGGCACCAACATATTGCCAGGTCGGTTGCCCATCGCAAGGACTTTGAGGGCCTCCATGGCCTTGATTGGGCTTGCAATAAGGGGCCGCTCTCCCTTGGATCGTGCTCGTCTGAACTCGCTCATCGAGGGGGCGTTTATCACGGGCCAAATCCAGGCCAAGTTTGATACTTCACAAACTGGACTCTGCGCCTGCTGCCAACTCCCAGACACCGTGGAGCACCGATGTACGGCTTGCCCTGGGCTTCATCATGTTCATGACCTTCACGAATATGCGGTGCGGCAATGGCCCCGCCTTCCGCGTTGCCTCACTCATCATCTTTGCCTACCACGCAATCCACATCATGGTGCTCTCCTTCATGCTCGTGCTGACCCACATCCACGACACCATCTTGTGGAACCGTGTGAGGTTCCTGATTCCATTGATGTATTTACGGACGGGTCATGCTTTCGGCCACAACATCCCCTTCTGGCTCTTGCTGGTTGGGCAGCAATCACATCTCATGATGGCCGCCATATTTCTCATGGTCCACTTGCGGGACACCACCAATCTATTTCCCGAGCCGAGATCACGGCGATCGTTGCCACACTGCACTGGGTTGTTGAATTTGCTGACAGTAGCAACCTCACCATCTGGTCGGATTCAGCTTTTGCCGCGACCCAATTTCAGGAGCTTCTTCTCCAGCAGGAACTTCGTCCTGATGTTGTACACAGGGATCTTTGGCAGGATGTTCTACCTCTGCTTCGTCTTCGTTTAGGCAGCACTGGAATACAGCACATTTCTGCACGTGGAGATCTCAGGAACAGCACTGGCCCCTTGCAGGACTGGACCATTCAGTGGAATGCCCGTGCAGATCACTTTGCAAAGCAAGCAGCCTGGACGCGCTCCTGGAGCTTTTTGCAGGTTTACGATCTGTATTTGCAGCATGAAGCGCAGGCTCTTGTAGATTTGGATGCTGTGGCCTCACTTCACCTTGCGATTGCGGAAGCTGGAGCTAGTGTGCCCCTTCCGGCCTCCTTGGATAACCCTGAGCCCCTTGATGGCGTTCCTTCTTTGCCTCCAACGGTTTGGAAAGCTGGTGAGTATTGGCTGGATTCGGTTCCTTTGGAGTGGCGAGGACTCGTTTTTGCTTCACCTACGATTGCAAGTTTTGAGCCGAACTTTGTTGTGACCCTCCTTGAGCGGCTGTTCTCTGTTGACAGCTCTGAAGCTGGGCTCATTGAATTCAGCTGGCTTGAGTTGGCATGCCTTGTCCACAAACAGGGCATTGCTTGCTTTCCGGCGCCTGCCATTAGTTCTGCTGCGGTCTGGCAGACTTCTAGCGACACCAGATCGCATGGGGCAACTTTGGCCAACAATGTGCAGTTGCTTAGGTCGATCTTTCGGGCCTTGGCAACGCTTTTTCAGGTTGATCTGCCTGAGGTAACGATTAGGAACCTCCAGGCGAGCTCAGACTCCCCACCAGTCTGGTACAGGAGACTAGGTTGGAGTTGCAGCTCTTTGCCTCGACTCGGCCCTTTCGCTCATCGAATGACTTGAGCCGGCCGTTCTGAAGAGACAGGATTAGCGCGCTGCACCGCCTTGGCTGTGCACGCGCACCGCACGCCGTGAACGAATGAATGTGGTCATCAGAAACATTTGCCGGAACAAGCATCTTGGATTTCGACGCCTGTAACTCACAAGGAGGGTTAGTGGAACGCAGGCCGCTGCAAGTTGTGGTGATAAGGATCTTCTTGTGAAGGAAATGAGTGTGGGACGCGTCGTTCTATGAAAATTAAGGCGTAAGACTTTCTTGGGTTGGCCATAAGAGATCTACCTCGCAGAAATTGCGCGGGTGAATTATGGAGGGCGCAAGTAGGAGATCTCTTGCTCCAGCCACACCAGCCATCGTGCATAGGGCCAGGAATCTGTAGTTAATTCAGCTTGTCAGGCGGTCTGCTGCCCTGGCTTGTCAATAGATCTTTGTGAAAATCATCATCGGAAGATGGCAGGTCATGTCCTGCTTTGGACGGCGACTTGGTTTCGCTTAGGGATGTTCACCTGGAGCCAACCATAGTGCCATCTGTGGATCCCTTTAGCCACATTCCTCCTTTAGAACCGTCAGGTTCAATCTTGGACTTCTCCTCACCCCAATGATGGAAAACTTTGCGCAACTCTTCTTCTGTCCGTGGGCTAGTGAGTTGCGGCGGTGCGCTATGTCCAATTGGACAAGCTCTCAGTTCCAAGCAACTCCTCTGTACGTCACGGAAAGGTCTCTTGCGGTTGCTGCTGCCTTCACGAGTTGCTTGTAGGTTCTGGCCTTTAATGAAGCTGGTTGCCATACCTGTCTTGGTTGACGGTCGGACAAGGTGTCATGGGACAGGTCTAGTGTCAACCCAGCTCGCTGAAGATGATGTTCCGTCATAAAGAGTTGGTGACATCAGTTGCTCTCTCTACCAAAAATGCGACCGTCAAGGATGCGCCCACCGGTTTGTAAGGGAAGTTGCAATTGTCAACTTGCTTCTGCTCTGAAGCCACTGCTCTTGCTCTGTGATGGAGCTATTACAGCCTTCTGACAAGGTTCGCGTTCCGGTCGAATCTTGTCATAGAGGTTGTAGATCTCGCTCAACCCGCGCGTCCTGAATCTGAACTGCTCTCCTATATGGCGATGTTGCAGGTGAAGTTTCCTGACCTCGTCTGGCTTTGGTTTTGAGAGTTGTGTGTGGGTGGATGCGTCTGAGTGCAAGGGGTGATGTAACTTGGTGATGCTTCTTGCGGTTGTGCAGCAGGATCTCTTGGCTGGGCGGACTGCTGGCCTGGCGCTGGTATCACCCTGTCTGATGGCTTGTCTATGCTTTTAGTGGTTTGTCAGAGAACTCGAATATTGCGGGTCCTGTCCACAACTCTGGAGTTGTCCTTGGCGATGTTGCCTTGGTTCGCCAATTATCTTCTATGAAAAATAACGGTCGCTTTGTCTCTGCCTGGAATCTCTTGCGTACTCTTCGATGGTAGATCTGCGTGCGTGTGTGCAGTTGCACAAGTTTTGCTTGTGTCAGACGCGAACAGCGCGCTCCTCTCAGACACATGAACTCTATGGAGTTCTTTGGTGGTGCGGTTGCTTATCCAGCGGTCGTTGTTGACGTGTCCGACTGTGATGAAACAAGGTCGCAGCACTGGGCCTTTATGGCGTCATACGTATACTGAGCTGTATCCCTTGAGGGCCGGCCTGCCGTCAGCTCACTCTGTATGATGAAGAGCAAGGTCACTATACGCTCCTGTTCCTTTCAAAGTTTTCTGGAAGTAGGTAAGTCAGATTGGGCATCATGGGTGCTGTGGCTCCTTGCAGCAGACCCTACATCACTGCTACTTCATCACTGCTACTTCAGCAATTCTCTGGTTGTGCTAGTCACGCGTTCTTTGCTTGGCGTCATTCATCGCCTGAAAATACTCAAGACCTGTTTGGGTGAATCTGGGAACTCTATCTTCCCAAGATTTTGCAGTCTTCGCAACGGAATCTTGACTGTACTCCTAAAGGTCAAAAAACCATTGTTACCTGAGCGATGGTATGGTTGAAGAAGCTGAGAAATCTGTGAAGCAATACATTCTGCGCGCCCTTCAAGAAGTATCCGCGAAGGAAGTTGAGAAAGTGCTCCACTCTGTTTTCTGGATCTATGAGTTTCTCCTTGTCCAGACGTTCACGGCACAGCGCTGCGTCCTTGGCAAGTCGCGGGCTCTATAACCGTCAGTGCGATCCAATCCCGTAACCAGATCTTCATGCCAACACCACCTGACACAGCCGTTGTACGACATCGATAGAGTGATGGCTTCCAAGAAAGCTGCTCCGCTGCCACGATTGAGGCTGTCCCAAGGCCCCATAGAGAGGGCTTCTTTCTCTATGAGCTAGAGGTTGACAAAAGCTACCAGGCCTTGAGCCATGAAATAGCAATGAGACGCAGCCAATTTGCGTATATGATACCATTGGTTGCCTCAAGCTCAACGGTCTGCGTGTGTTAAAGGATTTGGCGCGAATGCAAATAACTTGAAAAAGATAAAGACTGAGTGAAACTATCGACTCGCTCGCTCGTTTATTCAGGAATCGATATCCTTATAGACAATGAAGTTGGCATCGGAATCGGAAGAGTCTTGTAGACGATGAGGTCAACACTAAGAACCTTACTTCTGAAGACTCCTTTCGAAGAGTGTTTAACCTGTCCACAAGTTTAGCTGCTTTTTCCTTCACAAAAAGATGTCCTAAAACAGCAGGCGTACACCTCTGAAACGAGAGAATGATAGAAGCCTACGGTTGGATACTATTCTCCAAAAAATTGCGAAGATCCGTTCATACTGCGGCATCAATGGTCTTCTTCTCATAGCATCCATTATCTCCTCCACAGAGCCCCAGAAAATTGGTCATGGGAGAAATTTCTGAAAGGGCACGATCCAAAATAAAGAAGTTCAACAGATCTACTTCGCACCAATCTCTGGGCAGACGCAATATGCCGAGATTCTCACGACGATGCACCCGAGAGTTTGCAACGAGAACCGGGAACAACGAGTTCTCTTACGCAGAGAAAACCAAACAAGGCGCCACACCCTCCTAAGGGTGAAGCCGAAGAACGCGGGCTTACGAGCAAGGAAGCTCTGGACGGCAAGCTGAAGAGCAAGTCAATCCCGAAACCTTCGCAGCCACACAGAACAGTTCCGGACCTCGGACCAGATATCAGGACGACCGAGGAAACATGCAGTGAAAATGAATTCAAAGCAAGCATACTTGCTTACTCGTGTCTCCACAGAGGATGATAGGAGCCATCAAGGAAGGATACATAACTCCGGGAAGCCACCAGGAAAAGAACGGCAGAGTTCAATCACTTTGCCAACATGACAGACTATATCCTTTCTGATTTTTTCAAGGTTTCTGCTTCTATGAAATACGACAACATCTTCCATGCTTGGCACTGTTCCTGTAAAAATGCGACGGTGATGAGGAGAAGTATGACCAACCGAGTGGCACAGCACTTATCACAACCGACCGGGCGCTTGTCAAGAAGATGATCATGTGTCAACGTAGACCAGCCGGAATGTGGGGAATATCTGAAGATAAACTACAATCCACAATGTCTCCCGACGCTTAAAAAGTCAGCAACAAAGGATGTGATCAAGATCTCCCACAGTGTACTTTGCATTCCACAATCATGTCCGGGCGGACGAGCAGGAAAGAGAATGAAAGAAACATGGAGCTGGCCTGGCTAAATCCGAAGCCATCGTCATCAAAAGACACACCGAATAACTCCGACAAATCCCTGGTATCTTGGACCTGGAAGAGCTGGTGTTACAATTGGGGTTGCAGCCACAGTGGCACCAAGATGAAGATACAGCACGTCGGAGTAATTGTGACCAAGGACAGATCCACAAGAAGACAAGTCTCCTACGCTCCCAGAACTACGAAATCTCTACCGAGGACGGACTGAAAATGTAAAAGGCCTGCAATCTCTAGCTAAACATATTTACGGAGTAGATCCACGGTTTGTTCCGGGTCCACATGGGACCCCTATTTACAACCTCAGACGGGTGGCCACAAACCACCAATTGATTCTACTAGACGTTCCCTTTCCGTAGTGCGGGACACGGTTCCGCGAAGGAGCAGGAACGTCAAATCACACGTCCGAACAGATTGCAAACAAAAACCTAGAGGCACCCCAGCCTTCCTGGGAAACAGAAGCATGCAGAGCCAAAGAACAGGCCCCCACTTGTGTCGTGCGGGGGCCGTTCCCAAATGTGCGAAGTTGAATCGGAGAAAGCCATGCGCGCACTCCACATTTCAGACCGAAGTCCGAGCCGGCAAGCTAAAGTAAGATGGAGTAAGCACTAAAGTAAGCGGGGAGGCACGGGAACGGGAGGCATGGTGAAACTCGAGGCAATTGCCTCGTGTCAGCCCAAGCCCACAGAGCGGGGCCTCATGACCCAGACGCCCGTGGCCATCAAAAACTCCAAAGAGGAAGATGGGCTCGCCATTCTCCTCGGATGTTTGAGAACGCTCGTTCCGGCCAATTCATTCCAAAGCTTTCCAAACTCTCAAAGGTACAATGAGAATTGAAACCATCTCTCCTTTTTCCTCCTTTTCTTCGTTTGTTCCACTTGCCGTCAACACGTCGCGCTGCAGATTCGGATCAAGATGTCTTGGGCCCCCCTCGGTGCCAGCGCAGCCCGCGGGCAGCACCGCCATGGCGGAGTCCTACCGAAGGAAGACTTGAGGACGGGAACAACTTGAGGAAGACTTGAGGAAGACTTGAGGAAGACTTGAGAGAGAAGAGGATGAAAAGGATAAAGGACGGGCCAAAAGGATGGCAAAGAGGGAAGAGCAAAAGAGATAGAGAAAGGACAAAGGGGAACAACTTTGAAGCAAGGATAGAAAGAGGGGGGAAAAAAACACGGAAAAAGAAGAAAACCTGAAAGCAGCCACGAACCCGAAGGCAATCTGCCCGCTACCAGTTGGCTTGACGCTTCAAGTACCATGACTTGTGACTTGCTCCCACTCACTTCACTGCCTCCCTCATTCACTTCACTGCCTCACTCACTCACTTCACTGCCTCCCTCACTCACTCACTCACTCCCTCACTCACTCCCTCACTCACTTCACTGCCTCACTCACTCACTCACTCACTCACTCACTCACTCACTCCCTCACTCACTCACTCACTCACTCCCTCACTCCCTCACTCACTCACTCACTCCCTCACTCACTTCACTGCCTCCCTCATTCACTTCACTGCCTCACTCACTCACTTCACTGCCTCACTCACTCACTCACTCACTCCCTCACTCGCTCCCTCACTCACTTCACTGCCTCACTCACTCACTCACTCACTCACTCCCTCACTCCCTCACTCACTCAGTCACTCACTCCCTCACTCACTCCCTCACTCACTTCACTGCCTCCCTCATTCACTTCACTGCCTCACTCACTCACTTCACTGCCTCACTCACTCACTCACTCACTCCCTCACTCACTCCCTCACTCATGCTGCCTCCTGCTCCTTCCCTCCCTCACTCACTCACTCCCTCACTCCCTCACTCACTTCACTGCCTCCCTCATTCCCTTCACTCTCATCACTCACTTCACTGCCTCACTCACTCACTCACTCACTCCCTCACTCACTCCCTCACTCACTTCACTCACTCACTCCCTCACTCACTCACTCACTCACTCACTCACTCCCTCACTCCCTCACTCACTCACTCACTCCCTCACTCACTCCCTCACTCACTTCACTGCCTCCCTCATTCACTTCACTGCTGCCTCACTCACTCACTTCACTGCCTCACTCACTCACTCACTCCCTCACTCACTCCCTCACTCACTTCACTGCCTCACTCACTCACTTCACTGCCTCACTCACTCACTTCACTGCCTCACTCACTCACTCACTCACTCACTCCCTCACTCACTCCCTCACTCACTCACTTCACTGCCTCACTCACTCACTTCACTGCCTCACTCACTCACTTCACTGCCTCACTCACTCACTCACTCACTCCCTCCCTCACTCACTCACTCACTCACTCCCTCACTCCCTCACTCACTTCACTGCCTCCCTCATTCACTTCACTGCCTCACTCACTCACTCCCTCACTCCCTCACTCACTCACTCACTCACTCCCTCACTCACTCCCTCACTCACTTCACTGCCTCACTCACTCACTTCACTGCCTCACTCACTCACTTCAAAGCCTCACTCACTCACTCACTCAGTCACTCACTCCCTCACTCACTCCCTCACTCACTTCACTGCCTCCCTCATTCACTTCACTGCCTCACTCACTCACTCACTCACTCACTCCCTCACTCACTCACTCACTCACTCACTCACTCCCTCACTCACTCCCTCACTCACTTCACTGCCTCCCTCATTCACTTCACTGCCTCACTCACTCACTTCACTGCCTCACTCACTCACTTCACTGCCTCACTCACTCACTCACTCACTCACTCACTCACTCACTCACTCACTCACTCACTCCCTCACTCACTCCCTCACTCACTTCACTGCCTCCCTCATTCACTTCACTGCCTCACTCACTCACTCACTCACTCCCTCACTCACTCACTCACTCACTCACTCACTCACTCACTCACTCACTCACTCCCTCACTCACTCACTCACTCACTCACTCCCTCACTCACTCACTTCACTGCCTCACTCACTCACTTCACTGCCTCACTCACTCACTCACTCCCTCACTCACTCACTCACTCACTCTCTCCCTCACTCCCTCACTCACTCACTCACTCCCTCACTCACTCCCTCACTCACTTCACTGCCTCCCTCATTCACTTCACTGCCTCACTCACTCACTCCCTCACTCACTCAGTCACTCACTCCCTCACTCACTCCCTCACTCACTTCACTGCCTCACTCCTCTTCACTGCCTCACTCACTCACTCACTCACTCACTCACTCACTCCCTCACTCA